CGTCTGTTAGGGCTTAGCTGATGCTACTCTGTGCCCCACACGCTGGGCTTGGAACTACAGGATTTCATGCTTACCATGCTGGGGTTTGGTCTTGCTCTGGTTCAGTCTTTTCTTGTTCTTCTGTCACTGCCTTTTGGAATGGGAATGTGTACTCTGTATTATTTGTGTTTAGGTGTATGTGTGTATGCCTGCTTGTCTGTATGTGCAACACATGCATGCAGTGCCTGTGGAGGCCAGAAGAGGGTGTTGAAACCCCAGGAACTGGAGTTACAGATGGTTGTGTGCTGCCCAGTGTGGGTGCTGGGATCCAAACCTAGGTCCTCTACAAGAGCAGGAAGTGCTGTTAACCACTGAGCCATACTTCCAGCCCCCCCTTTTTCTTTTCTTTCCTTCTTTCTTTCTTTCTTTCTTTCTTTCTTTCCTTTCTTTCCTTTCTTCTTTCTTTCTTTCTTTTTTTACTTTCCTTCTTTCCTTCTTTCTTGTTTTTTTAAGTCAAGGTCTCACTGACTGACTTCAGCCCCAGTTGGCCTGAAACTTGCTATGTAGACCAGACTGACCTGAATCTCACAGTGTCTCTGCCTCCTAAGTGTTGGGATTAAACCTGGCTCAAGGAATATTTACATGATGTTGTGGATGTTTCCTTCCTTCTTCCTTCCTTCCTTCCTTCCTTCCTTCCTTCCTTCCTTCCTTCCTTCCTTTCTTCCTTCCTTCCCTTCTTTCTTTCATTCAGACAGGGTCTCCCTATAGCCCCAGCCGCCTGGAACTCACTATGTAGACCAGGCTGGCCTGGAACTCATAGAGAGCTGCCTGCCTCTAACTCTGAAGAGCTGAACCAGATTAAAGGCATGCACCGCCTCGTCTGGCTGTTCTTTGAGGCAGGGTCTTACTATGTAGTCCTGACTGGCCTGGAACTTGCTATGTGGGCCAGGCTGGCATCAAACTCAGAGATCTGCCTGCCTCTGCCTCCCAAGTGCTGTAATTAACCACGTGTGCTACAACACCTGGTGGCCCTTTTTTTCTTTTATAAGGGTTCCTGGCTAAGAGTTTGCCTTGGGTCTTGGAAAGGACTTTGGACTTTTTCTTTTTTTGAGATAAATTCTCAAGTAGCCCAGGATGACCTTAAACTGACTATTTAGCTGAGGGTGACCTTGAAATTGTGATCCTCTTGCCTCTACCTCCTGAGTGCTAGGATTGTAGGTGTGTACCACCACACTTGGTGTATGTGGTAGGGATTGAACCCAGTGCTTTTTGCACTCTAGTCAAGCACTCTGCCAATGGTGCTACATCTCCAGCCATAGACTTTGGACTTTTGAACAACGTTGAGACTATTAAGATTATGAATGCTATTGGCTTTGGACTAAATGCCTTGCATTGTGAGATGGTCATGAGCCTTTGGAGGCCAAGTCTGGAACTTTACAGTTTGAATTTCCACAGGTTTTAGCCCTTGTGCCCTTGTGACACTATTTTGAAGGCTGTGGAGCCTTTAGGAGGAGGATTGTGGATGTCTGACATAGGTCACAGGAGGCAGACCTTTTTTTTTTTTTTTTTTTGGTCTTTTTTTGAGACAGAGTCCTCCAGCTGTAGCCCCAGCTGGCCTTGAACTCACAGAGATCCACTTGCCTCTGCCTCCTGGGTGCTGGGACTACCGCACCCAGCAGAGGAAAGCCTTTAAAGGTTATTCCTGCCCTTGAATCCAGCCGACTTTTTTTTTTTTTTTTTTCCTCTGCCCTTGAATCCAGCTGGCTTCCTGGTCTGCAATAATGTGGGTGAACAGCTGCTCCACCGCACACTCCTGCCACCATGAATGAGCTGTTCTGCCAGTCTTCCTGGCTATGACAGGTGGGCATCCCTCTGGAACCATGCACTGAAGCAAATCCTTCTTCCCATAAGTTTTTTTGTCAGGTATTTTGCCACAGTGACTCCAAAGTAAGTGATTCACTGGTGTGATAGCATATACTTGGAATCCCAGCTACTTGGGAGGCTGAGGCAAGAGGATTATTTTGACCCAGGAGTTTGAAACCAGCCTGGGTCACACAGTCAGCCAGAAGAAGAGGGAGAAGGAAAGGTCTCCAGTCCATAGCAGATTAGGAGCCAACCAGGTCTGAGCCTGCCTGGTCTCCTCAGTGGCAGTTGTCTGCCCTTCCTCCTCCGACTTTATTTTCACTGGTTCTGGAAGCTGCACCCTAGTACCATCTGGAACTCATGGAGCCACCACTTATACCACTGCTTTCCACTGGCTCCTCTCATCCTGACTTCCATCCTGTCCACCGAAGGTCCAGGACCTGGTCTCAGGAATCTCTTCACCTCAGTGACAATGTGAATGACCAAAGACATGACTGACTGCACTGTAGATGTCATACACACTGTGCACTTAGGCTACAAGAAATTTATCTTATTTATTATATATTTTTAATTATTTTAATTTATGTGTATGTGTGTGTGCATGCAATATATATGCACGTCATGGCATACATAAGGAGGTCACTGAACGGCTTTTGGGAGTCAGTCTTTCCTTCCACCATGTGGGTTCTGGGGATCAAATTCAGGTCACCAGGCTTGGTGACAAGCTCCTCTACCTGCTGAGCCATATTGCTGGTCAGAGCAATTAATTTTTAAATTTTAGTTATGTATTTATGTGTGTCTGTGTTTATGTGAGTGCAGGTGCCTGCCAAGGCCAGAGGAGGACATCAGATCCCCTGAAGCTGGAGTTACAGGCCAGGCAGTTGTCAGTTGCCCAACATGGGTGTTGGGACCTGAACATGGCTCTCTACAAGAACTCATACATGGTTGTCTACAAGAACAGAGCACACTCTTAACAGGTGAATCATCCATTCCCCTCCCCGCCCCCCGCAAATCAAGCAATGTATTTTAAACATTTTCTCTTCAGGTGAACACCAATGTGAGTGAATGTGAGTTACTCACACCTGTAATCCCAGCATTTAGGAAGCAAAGGCAGGAAAATCTTTAGCTTGAGGCCAGGCTGGGCTCCATAGCATGGCCCTGTCTTAAAAGGTAGGGACAGGGGCTGGAGAGATGGCTCAGTGATTAGGAATACTTGCTACTCTTCCAGAGGACCCAGGTTCGATTCCTAGCATCCACGTGACAGCTAACAACTGTCTGTAATTCGGGGGATCCAACACCCTCTTCTGACCTCTGAGGGCATCGTGCTCACGTGGTACACTTACATGCTGGCAAAACACTGTACACATAAAACTAAATTTAATTTAATTTAATTTAAAAAAATACTAAGGGCTGGAGATGTAGCTAAGCAGGAGGGTGCTTATTTAGGATGTGCATGGCCTTGAATTTACTCCCAAATGCCTTAATCAAATAAAAAACAACTTCTTTCTTCAATAACAAATTAACTTGAGCTTACCCTAACTTCATTTTTTTTTGTTTTTTGTTTTGTTTTGAGACAGGGTCTCCTTGTAGCTCCAGGAAGCCTGGAACTTGCTATGTAGACCAGGCTGGCCTTGATCTCTCACAGAGTTCCACCTGCCTCTGCCTCCCAAATGAGCGCTGGGATTAAAGGCATGTAGTACTATAACTTTTTTTTTTTTTTTTTTGGTCTTTTTAAGACAGTCTGTCTGTAGCCCCAGCTGTCCTGATGCACTATGTAGACCAGGCTGGCCTCTGCCTCCTGAGTGCTGGGATTAAAGGCGTTCGCCACCACGCCTGACATAACTTTTTTTTAGCAGCCTCTTGCAACCTTGCTCAAATTGGTCTGGAACTCCTGACCATAAGCAATACTCGTGCCTCAGTCTCCTGAGGAGCTGGGACCACAGGAATGAGCCACCATGCCAGCCAGCCTCTGTGAGCTTGAACAAGAAGCCTCACAGCTCCACAATGCCATTTCTTTTAAAACAGAACAACTGTTCATCTCCCCAGGAGCATTTGGTCATTTTTCAGCAGTGCTGAGCATCATGCCCAGCTCCCAGGGAGGGGCAGCCATGGAGACCCCATTCTCCTGTGCACACGTACCTTCACCTGTTTTGTCCACCTCCTTTCAGACTTTGTACCCCTTTCCATGCCCAGCTGAGAGTCCAGACCCTGAGACTCAGCTGCAGCAGAGGACCCTCCCTGTCCTGGCCAGGACCTCAGAAGCCCCACGGGGCCAGCAGCACAGTTGGGCCTGCCCTCTGCGTGGCTGTCCTGTGTGGGACACCCCTGCTCCCCTTCCCCACATCTCAGCAGCTGTGTCCTTCGTGCTCTGTTGGCTTGGGAAGTTCTGGTTGGTTTCTCTGGGACTTTCTTAGTGATCATGGTAAACTCCAGTCAAGGGAGGGGGAAGGGAGGATGTTGATTGGTGGAGTGCACACCTGTTCAGGTGCGGCAAACAAAGGAGCTGTGTTAGAAGAGCACCATTTAGGATCCCTGCAGGCGGACTGAAAGGTGAGGAGCTGCGGGCGCTGAATAGGCACAGATTTGAACTTGAATGGGACCTGCCAGGGTCGAGGTGGGCAGGGAGGGAGTGTGGGGGCATGCAGGGACAGAGCCTCACATTCAAGGGTCTCCGTCTCGGCCTGGGATCTTCTGTTTTCTCTGTCTAGAGATGAGGGACACAGGGTACTCAGGGATGGGTATGGGGACCCTACAGTGGCAGGGGCCATTCCTTGGCAAAGTGAATATTCTGAGCTTTAGAAGCAGTCTAGGGTCCCAGGAGGGTGGTAGAGGGGCCCACAACAGGGGAGAGGTTCTGAGAGCGATTGGGGTCCCACCCCACCCACTTGCTTCTGGACATGGAGGGAATTCGGGGAAAACTCCAACTCTACACATAAGGCACACAGGCACCCCCTAGATGACAGAGCCTCCATGAAGGGAGCATACCCACATCAGTGACCCCATCCGATAACTTCCTGCACAGCGGCACTACCCGCTCTTAACCAAGAGCACAGAGATTTCCCTCCTACTTAAGAGACAGTATTTTGAAAGCACCTAGAGGTGCGACACAGACTCCGAGCGGCTCACCAAGCAGCCATCCACCTGTCATCAGAGAACTGATGGAGGAACTGGTGGGGCTGCGTGAGGGCTCCTCAGGAAAGCCAGTGACTCTGCCAGAGCTGTGGGGCCCATGTCCACGTGTCCGGCGAGGCATCCGAGGTGAGAGCTGGGCCCCTGTCCCCACCGAGTTGTCTCAGGACAACACTCACCCTAGACCCAAGACCACCTTCCGCACTGCGGAGTCTCGTGGATGCTAGGAGGGAAAGGTCTGACTGTTCACTTTGAACCTGACCATCCCTTTTCCAGAAAGAGTACACACCCAAATACTGGTGGCTCACAGCCAAAGAGGGCCAGTTTCCAGGCTGAGCTGACAGTCAGCAGCCAATGGTGTAGCTGGGGCCTGGAATACGGATGGCCCCAGAGGCCCTGGGAGGACACCAGGGCCTTGCTGTCCCTTGGAGCATCAACCTCAGGCCCTGATGAGATATTGGTGAGAGGTGCAGTGTCAGGCCCTTTGGATTGCCCCATTCCTTTGACCATCCTTCAGGGCCAGTATTGGCTGAGGTAGATGAGAGTTAGAAGGCCTGAAGGGGCCACAAGCCTGGTGCCTACAGAGCCACCCACTCATACCTGCCACAAACCATACTTGCCCGCCCCCATCACCCTGGACTCCAGCTCCTGGCCACTAGCCTGCCTCACCTGGTCTTCCCTGCCTGGGGCCTGAGCAGTCTCCAGGAAAGGAGCTGTGACCCCAGTGTCTTGCCCAGGGGGCCTGGAGTGGCTGAAACAGCGGCTGTTCTGCGTGGGTGAGGACTGGTACTTCCTGATGGCCCTCGGGGTACTCATGGCTTTGATTAGCTACACCATGAACTTTGCCATTGGACGTGTGGTCAGAGGTAAGGCCTCCCCGGCATGCACACCCGCCTGGGGCCATGGGATTCCTGCACACACTTGGGATGCCAACTGGGCCACCAGGGGAAGTGGGACAGGGCAGGGCTGTGGGTGCTCAAGCCTGAGGCTGGCCCTGACTTTGCTCCTCACCAGCTGAGGGACCAGGCCTCCTTCCCCTCTCTGGCCCTAGCCATCTCACCTGCTTAATGGGGAAGAGATCCATGGTACCCTCATTCCTTCTCTCCCTCTTTTCTGCCTGCTTAGTGGGGCACCCACTTTCTCCAGATACCCAGCTGCCATATGGAGGCTCCAAACTGTCTCACCCCATCTTCTCTAAGCTTCCTTTGGTTTTCAGGAACCAGAGATGAGGGAGAGGTACTATTACTTGCTACTGGAAACTGAGGCTCAGAGAGTTGAGTCAATTAGCCAAGTCTCACATTAGGAAGCAGGAAAACTGAAATATGGGTACAGGGACCTAGTTACCCTCTAGCTGCTGGGTGGCCTTGTCTGTTAGAGGGCGCCCTGAGGGCCGTAGAGGCTCCACATGGCTCCCTGACTGCCTGCTGTCTTTAGCACACAAGTGGCTATATAAGGAGGTTGGGGATGGCCACCTGCTCCGGTATCTCTCCTGGACCGTGTACCCTGTGGCCCTCCTGTCCTTCTCCTCTGGTTTCTCACAGAGCATCACACCCTTCTCTGGAGGTGAGTCATGATCTTCTGACCTCTGGTTAATCTGCCTTGCCCTATAGTTCCCACAAAGTTCAAACCTTTTAACATCCTGTGAGACTTCTGAGGAGGGTGACAGGGAGAAACGGCACCGTGTCCATGCCAAGGAAATAGGCTTAGACAATCTGGACCACTTATCCAAAGACATACAGAAGTGGGACCTGGGTCATCACTGGCTCTGCCTCACTTCCCAAGGCCCCTGTGGGCTAGGAAGAAAGATTGGTGGCTGGTCACCTGCAGAACCATGACCAATAATAACTAATGTTAGAGATGGGCCGATGGAGGCAGCTAGCTTCCTGAGGCCTCTAGAGCTGCCTGGGAAATCTCGGGTAGATCTGGTGATGGCATGACAATCCACGCTGGGTCCACACCCTGCTGTTGAAGTCTCCCAGGCCCCACTCTCTGACCCTCAGCTTTCTCCTCTGGCAGCAAGTTATGAATCCTCTTCCTGGGGTACATGCGATCCAGAGGATGGTGCCCAAGAGCGCTGTGTGTTAACCTGTGCTGGGAATGGTGGCTTATAATCACAGTACTGGGAAACAGGAGAAGGGCTGCCAGTGCCAGGCCAGCCTGGGCCACACAGTGATAACTTGCCAAGAGAGACAAAGAGACAGACAGACAGGCAGGCAGGCAGGCAGACTGACATAGAGAGAACCAGTGTATAGCCATACCATCCTGAAGGGAACGGATCACTTGATCTTGTAAGCTAAACAGGGTTGGGCCTGGTTAGTACTTGGATGGGAGAGAAAGACAGACAGACAGAGACAGAGACAAAGAGACAGAAACAGAGATGCAGAGACACAGAGAGAATCTATCTAGACCTTGTCTTTCCCTTGCTCAGGGTCTGGACTCCCAGAGCTAAAGACCATGTTGTCTGGTGTGATCTTGGAGGACTACCTGGACATTAAGAATTTTGGAGCCAAGGTGGTGGGCCTCTCCTGCACCCTGGCAACGGGCAGCACCATCTTCCTAGGCAAAGTGGTATGGACAAGGAGAGCTCACCTGTCCTCCTTCCCTGTTTCTCTATACTTTGGGGTGCACAGTCTTGTGGACTTGTGGGAACATAGTGAGGTTCCCAGGTGTGACGAAATCCATCTCTGGATGCCCCTGAGGTCTGGGAATAACTGGGACAAGGATGTGAGTGAGGATGCCACACTGTCCTCTGAGTGATGCTGTGGCCCTTAGCCCTGGGCCTGAAGGAGAAAGAAGAGGAGGAGGAGGAGGAGGGGGAGGGGGAGGGGGAGAGGGAGGAAGAGGAGGAGGAAGAAGAGGTAGAGGGACAGCTTCCCCAGAGCATGGGCCCTCTGCCTATACCAACACCTTATCTTGGCAGGGCCCCTTCGTACATCTGAGTGTGATGATTTCTGCCTACCTGGGCCATGTGCGCACCAAGACCATGGGAGAATCTAACGTAAGGGGCACAAGGAAAAGTCCCCTTTGGAAATAAAAGGGGAAGCATGCTCATTCTGAACCCAGAACCCTGTTCCCCCCACCCCTGCCCCCCAGAGCAAGGCCAAGGAACTCGAGATGCTTACAGCTGCGGCAGCAGTGGGCGTGGCCACAGTCTTTGCAGCCCCCTTCAGTGGTGAGACCTCCCTCCCACCGGCCCTGTCTTTCCTAACCTGACCAGACCTCCACCTGGTGCCAGATCCCAGCGGGGAAACCTGCAACCTGCCGGTGTGCACAGACACCCCAGTCGCTACAGGATCCCTTTAGACACATGTGGGTTTGAAGCCTAGCTCCTACCTTGTGGCCCTAGCCAGTGAGTCCACTTCTCTGAACCTGGTTTCTCGGACTGGGAAATGGGACTCATTACAGTCCCGCCCTGAGAGGTGGGGATGGGGACTTGTTGACTTTCTTAAGGGCTGCTTTCCTGACTGCTGCCAAGCACAAAGGCAATGGGGCCCCTGGCTGTCCAGTAGCAAGAGGGCAGGGTCAGAGAGGGTCAGGGTGAGTATGACCCCCATGGCCTGCAGTCAGGGAATGGGGGTCCTCCTGAGCCATGTGTCCCTCAGGCGTCCTGTTCAGCATCGAGGTCATGTCATCCCACTTCTCTGTCTGGAATTATTGGAGAGGCTTCTTCGCGGCCACCTGCGGGGCCTTCATGTTCCGTCTCCTGTCAGTCTTCAACAGTGAGCAGGGTGAGCGGGACTGCCCAGCCGGACTTCCTCAGGGCCTAGTCCCCTCCTCCCACTTTCCTGCCTGATCCTCTCCTTCCTCCCCTCTCCATCCACCCTTCTTCCTCCCCTATTTCTGCCTCTGGGTCTGAATGCTTGCCAGTACTAAGATTCTCTCTCTCTCTC